CATCCGACTGTGCGAATTAAAATTAGAGAAGACAAATCAACTTTAGAAAAATGCTTAATTCGGTGAGAAAGGAAGCCTTCAAGGTAAGCGATTGCTATGCAGATATTTCTTTGCAAATTTTTTTGAAATGAATTTACCAAGTGCTTCAAGGTTGTTTTTGGAAATTGGTCAGGTTTCTGGTTACAGATATTGTGAAATTCTGTGCGGTTTACTATACAAAAAAAGATCAAAATACGGTCTTTCAACTTACAGGAGTTGCATCACCTGAAAAGGTTTCAAAAGAATTTCAGCTTCTTGCGGCAAATTTATAAAGTTTTTCACAAGTATCAAAAATTTTCTTTTTCAGGACAATCTTAGTCACACCTAATACTTGAGACTAATTTTGTTTGTTTTCAGAATCATTTTTTTCTTAATTCTGAATGCAGACGTCTCGAGATATCTAGTACTACCGTAGAGAACTAGTTTTTTTTAATAATAAGGCTATCTCTTCTGTTTAATACATGTTTCTCTTCTAAAAACAGCAGTTTGAAAAGTTATTTTTGAAATGGCTAAACTTTTTTTTCAAGCGTTGCAGTATTGTAGAGCAAATTGTTGCAGTTTAGTTGTTACTAACAGAAAACCTTTTTCAACAGTTGTTGGGGAATGTCAAAGCTTTGAAGGCCATTACATCTTACTGGCGACTGTGTATCATCAACATGTTTGAAAATTCTTTAAATAGACATATAACTTTATTTTTCAGCTCTTCTTTTTTTTGTTTTTGTAAATTCACCGGTTTACCACTTGAAACATTCAACATGAGACAATTTTTGCATTGAAATCGGTGTCAGCAGAGGGACAGATCAAAGCTTCAGCGGCTTCCTAAAAAAAGCAATGGTAAAAAACTCTGAAAAGTCTAAATCTGTGAGAGAGCTACAATTGTCTAACGTATAAATTTTTAACGGTTTATGAATATAGGGCTACCATAAATTGCTCGAATTCTCTGGATATCGTTCGGGCCAAGTTGCGGCTCTTTGTATTTACCGCTCCAATCCAACGGTGGTCTGTAATAGGGAGCCATGATGGCTTTTGGATCAAAAACGTGATCTAAACCAAGAAGATGACCAATTTCGTGTGTTGCGATAGAGAGAAGATCAGTGGAATCATTCCTGAAAGAGGAGAGGTTTTACTAAATTGTTCAGCATAAATTTTGTTAGATTATTTACAGTTAAAAAAAAATTAAAAAAATTCTCAACTAGTTAAATCTTAAAAAGATGTTTTTTAGGACAGAAATAAAGTAAAAAGGTCACTGATTTTGAAATTCAGACTAAAACAAACGATTCTGTAGTTGAATATTCATAAACTGTAAAAGAAATATTTTGCCTTGAAGTGATATTGAAATTAAACGACAATCTTACTTTATTTTTTCAGGGTCTTTGTCGCACCATGAATCACCACTGTCAAAAAGAATGCCATTTTTATATTTGCCTGGGTTATAGCCTACTGTCGAGAATGCGTATGTTTTGTCTTAATACGCATATTAGCCATAACAAAAATGCTTTTAAAAAGCGCTTTTGAGTATCATGAGATCACTTGTTTAAGATATAGAAGAGCTATCTTTTTTAAACTTAATCTTAAGTAATTGCTTTTAAGCAGAAGTTTAATTGTATACAAAAAAGGGATGTAAACCTTTGCCATCAATATAAGCAAATCTCATATAAGCGTCATAGTCATAAGCAACATATGAAAAGTTCAGTGGTATCACTGCAGACCATTTATCAAAGGCTTGTTGGAAAACATTCCTGGAAGTAATAAAATTAGGTTGTTTAAAAAAAAGAGTTTAAAGTAAAGATATTTTCTTTGAAAATTTGCTTATTTGGGACTACTGAAAGTTGTCCAGTTGATAAACGTTTTTCACCAAGGAAATAACCTGTTGTTGTCTTTTTAAATCTTATTATCAAGCACTTTAACTTAAAAATGGTAAACTCAAAATATTTACTGGACTTGTTGGGGTGTTAAACCATCGACGTAGTTCAATATAGAATATGTCGGCATCGTTTTATTCCATTTTGTAATCACATTAGCGACTGTAAAGATAGCTTTTAAAATTTAAGAACATTTGGTAAGTTTGAAAATATATAAGGCGTGTACCAAATAGTAGAAATTGCTTTTTACCTGGGCAAACCATGTTTAAACTTTTCTGACCTAATCTAAATGCGTGAAACTTTAGCCAGAAATTAGATTAAAGAAAATTTTAGAAGTAATGCTGAAACAAATAATGGCGTAGTTTTATAATTATGCAAACATATAAAGTAAACATACCACCAGCGCCGGCGTAATCTGGAAGACCGCACCTTTTTTCCAACATCTTTTCTTTTGTCGCTTTATCCACCTTTCCAGTAACCTTCAGCCCTGCCACACTTTGGAACATTCTAAAATTCAATTTTCATACTTGTTAAAATTAAAAAGTAAGCGACTGCCTTGAAATTTTTTGTTAAGTTTCTATACAGCAGTCAGGAAACACGAAAATGTGTCAAAAATCAAATGTTATGAATTTTGATAAAGAAATGCATTTTGATGAGGCATTTTGGTAAAACTATGAACAAAAGTCAGTGAGTTAAAAATAAGTCTCTTAAAGCGTATCAGTTGACTTGTAATAGTTTCAATTTTGGGCAATTTTACCATGCATAACAGAGATCCAGAATTGGAGATTTTACATAAGACATTCTGTTTAATGCTTACATGAGCTAGAAGACAAGAAGCCTACAAAACCTGTATAGCAAGAGGTCGCTGAGAGGTATAACTTGATGAACATAAATTTTTTACAAGCCTTTCCAGCGTATCGAAACGATTCATTTTTAGAAACAGCTTTTGCTTATGATGGAGAAGTAGTACTGTATAATAAGCATTAGAAGGTTCAAAACTGACTAAACAGCAGTATTCAACTTTCTTTTTTAACAAAGTAAAATTTTGCTATGTTCTAAAGCATTTGTTCTAAGGCGGCCTGTGGAAGTTCCTTGTTTCTCAGATTTCTGGCGTTTTATTCCACCCTAATATACAAACTGACGTTAAGACTAAAGTCGTATGATGACTCTTGAGTTATTTGTCCCAAAAAGTAATTTTGTGTAGAATTAAAGCAATGATCTGCTAAGTAAAATACCAAAATCAATCGCTTTTGTTTCGATAATCTTAATGCCTCTCTATGCTATCATTCTCATTTCCAATTCAAGTTGTAGAAAAATTAA